ATAATGCATTCATTTTCAGAAAATTATCAATCGTTAAAAAATGTCATTCAGTGTCCAAATCCTTAAAGAACATATTAATGATTCAATACAATACATTGTATTTTTAATTCAAGAGGTGGCTTTGGCTCAAATAAATCAAACATTAATGAAAGTCAGTGGGAAATTAATATTATTATTATTCCATCATTATATAGACTGCAGTGCATTGACAAAGCTTGCGATGGAGAGTTTGATTCCATAATGATGCATTATTATGATGAAAAGCACTTGAAAATGAATATATAAATCAGATAAACATGACTTGATTAATTACATTTTCTATGTTAGAAATTATTTGCGGAGCTGGCAGTTTTTTTATCACCTCACTGTGGAACAAAACTCTTAATGTGAACATTTAATTACTAACTGATCTATAGTATACAGTGCATGTAATGTCATTGGTGCCAGTTTTCTGTCAAAAAAATTAATTAATTAATCAACATAGTTTCAGTTGCCTCAGAGGCACGGGAAAGCGGAGGACATTTACATCACTGAAAATAAACATTGAGGTCAACTTCTTCCCTTTTTATAACCATTTACTGTCAAACATATAAACCAGATAAATGCAAACAGTGCATGTATCCTAGTGAATGAGTCTCCATGCATCAGCCAACTCAAAGGTCAAACTGGTGCCTCAATAGATCTAGAAAGATGAGACCTGGGACAGTGAAATCTTTCCAGATCCAACACATGGATCCCATTTCTGTGAATGATGTCCTCTCCTCAACAATCTACCAAACAGGGATGATTTGCCCTTTTATTTTATAGACAATGTTCCAAACTGGGATTCATACTCTGTCCTAGAGATGGAAAGTGCTGTCCCAACTGCTAACCACGTTTGCCACCATCGTGGAGGTCTACTGGGGAATTACTGCAGTTGTTTAAAGTAATATCTAAACATGCCAAAATAAAGTCAAAATGAATAGTGTGATCATACTTAAAAATAAAAAAAATCAACATTTGAGAGCATGCATATCCAAAAACAAATCACAGGTCCTAGATGAAAGTCTGCTAACTGTTATTCTCCCATACAAAGTGATTTAGTCTCACCAATGTGATTGTTTGAGCTGCAGAACAAACTGGAGAGGCTGACAGTCCAAAAGTGCATTTTCCATTAACATGTTTTTATGCACATTTATCAATCTGGGCATAAAAAACCTGAGTGGGAATGGTGGAAATTTGAAAAAGAAAAACTCAAAATATCATAAAAAAGTTATTTGCTTGGCTGGAAACTTATGTTTTCCTTAATGGCAATTTTTAGTTAATGTTAAATAATGAAGCAACTGAGGCTTAGAGCAGGGTACTGTACATTTGGGGTGAAAGTGTTTGATGGATAGCTGTTTCAGGCTCTCACGCTGCTTGCTCATTGCAGGAAATATGGATTTTCTAGCTCCAAACAGCTGACCAGGGCCTGTTTCACTAGAGCAATTTGCAAGCATTGCTTATGGTGAATTGCAAAAGGTGACAGCATCGTATTTCAATGTTTGTTTGATAAAATTGTCCTTCCAGGCCCCTGCATGCTGGTGCATGGGTCGCATTTGTTTTAATAAGTGAAGCAAGTCAAAGTTAATGGAAGAGGATGGAGAATGAGAATACTTCATTCATGTTTCCCCAGACAGTCTGTGAGATCTTATTTTGCATTGGAGAATAACAGTATGTGGGCTTTACATTTCCATGTAAGCTGGTGTAAAAAAAACAATGTGTTTACAATAAGACAGTGTTTAGCTGAAAAAATATGTTAGCTCACTATTAAACTGATATTATGCAAAGACAAACTCAAGTTTCCAGTCAAAACCAGCCTAGAGATAAATCCTTTGCGTTTAGTTTTGCTGAGATGGTTAAATCAAAATTTACGAAGAATCACTGAGGACCTCCAGGATGGCTTCCTGAGTGGCTTTTTAACATGTGGAAAAAACCATCAATACATGTTTCTGAAATATATTCATAAATACTTCGATCCAAGGTCAGCAGGAAAGACATAACAACCACAAAGAAATAACATTCGAAATGCTGAATTTTTTAAAAAATAAAAACAGATTCTAACTTCATAATTCTGTTTACAATTCATACAACATATACCAATCTGTCAGCTGTGTAATAAACAAGGTAGATAGCAATTTTAATAAAATACTGACAAAAAAAAACATTTCAAAAATCTTAAATGTGTGGCAAAGCACCAAGCATTACCCGATAAAGTATATTTGTAATAAAAATTAAAGTCTTTACTTGTGTGTTACCGTGTTTAAGTTCCTCTACATACAATACGTTTTACAACAGAACAAAGCCTGAACTCTGATAGCGACCTCTAATACTGGAACTTTAAAAATAACCAGTGAACCTGCAGGATGTTCTATGTGAGATTCAGTTCAACGCAGTTTTGCTATATTCAAGCAGTATACAGATGTTTATTGAATGTAAACTTTGTATCCTAACAACTGGAAGCATCTACAGTGTGTGTGTGTGTGTGTGTCTGTTTATGTTACAAATTCCTTCACATTTCCTCCTGAATGACTCAAACTGACATTAATGCTGAATCTGATTGTGCAGCCTGTAACTGTTCTACTGTGTGTGTGTTATAACTGTCAGATATCTACCAATGCACAGAAATCATTCTGAAACACTTGATGAACATGTATTTGACTCGCAGTTTATTACAGTCTTTCTGATGTGCACAAAACTGGCAGTTCTACATTTCCCCTACAGTTAAGTGTCTGACAGTTCGATTTAAACGGGTGCAATAACCAGTAGGAAATGCCTAAAATGGTTAACGAATCCCAGCGTTGGTTCAATTCTTATAAAACACAAAGATTTGACAAAAATAATCTTAATGTTAACCTTAATGGTGTTATAGGGAAGCAACACAGACTCTAAATACTCAAATACTTTAAAAACTGACATCATTAAGTTTTGGATTGACGATAGCTGATATGTTTGGCTCTTAATGACTATCTTGTAATGCTCAGAAAATGTAACCAAACACTAATATCAGACGATTCTGCAAGACCCCAAATTATGTTCAGTAATTAAAGCCATTAAAAAAAAGATGCCTTAATATATTATATGCTTAATAGTTAGGAAAAGATAGTTTTCTCACTTTTTATCTTGCTACATAAACACACTTAAAGGACCAGTTAAAGGACCAGTGTGTAGGATTTAGTGGCATCTAGTGGTATAGTCCAGATTGCAACCAGCAAAAACTGCTAGCCTCAACCAAGTTTAGTAGTAGGAGAAAATATGGTGGCTGTGGTGAAAAATGTCAAAGGACCTATCTAGAAACAGTATGATTCAACATGGCGGCTCCATAGAAGAGGACCCGCTCTGTCTGATGATAAATATGTTTCTTCAAACTACAGTTTTACAGACTCAAACAAGAGTTCTGCTCATTGTTTCCTTCATCTGCCTACAGTTTGCTCAATGGTTCATGATGCTGCCTTCCACACAGAAATAATATCTCCAAAATAATATGGTTTGATCAAAACTATCTCTTCAGTGTTTCAGTCCAATTTTGTGACTTTGGTGGATGATATGTTTGGATTTTACAGATACCACTGTACCCTGTGGAGGTTCAGAGAATAATACCAGTGTAATTTTCTATAATTTCCATCCCCATTAGCTTTTTGCCACACTCAAAAGCTTTCAGACGTCATTGTGCCCCAGTGCATGGAAAAATCTGAGTAAAATGGCTGCTTTGACAAATGTAGTTAAAATAACATGTTTTTCTCCCCTAAAATAACTTGCTGCAATCAGAGCAGTTTGATTCTAACAGACGTGAATGTGAAGAGATGATTGAGCTCAGTGTTTTTTAGACCCATATCAATGTCATTATCATGGACGTTGGTATTGAATGTTACTTGTATTTATTGAAGGATAGATTTTGGTCCCACTAAATAAGGACAATGAAAGTAAGCAACAACCGGTAGGCAGTGACTTCAGGACTTCGGGCAAAGCTGTGCCAGAATGGAGTTGTAGCTCACTCAGGTGGTTTGGGCTTTGTAAACCCTTCCTAAACAACTGCAAGTAGGCACAGCAGGGCTGTCCAGGTTTTCATTTCTACACATGCCAAAGTGGCTTGCATTGGTTGCTAGTAAGAGCAATACTATGTATTTAAAGAGTTTGGAAAGAATCTTAAAAGAAGCTAAAACATGCCCAGCTAATTAATTTAATACGCGATACTGCTTAAAAATGAAAAATATAAAGAATACAGCATAAATCCAACCTCTGTGTTGCTTGTCCAATGGTATTTTTCTTTAGCAAGCAGCCGTTCTGTTGAACTTTTTAATCACATTTTTAATTATAAGCTAATTATCTCCACCACAATGTTGTTTCTTTATTTCCAGGTATTCTACGTCGATCATTGACTGGTGAGGATGGTGACTTTTTGCCTGGGACATGAAGCTTTAGCCTCAGTCTTTCAGCACAAATATCTTTAGGTGAATCAGCTGGAACAACTAAAAGGTTGACAGCATTAGCATCAGCCAGTTGTCATTTCAGCGGACTAAATTGAAATTAGGTGAATGGGCTCATTGTTTCAAATATCACTATTACAAACCTGGAGTAGTCAGTCTGCCACTGTTGTCACTATAAGCTGCTGTGTGAGAACAACAAGCTTGACAGGTGTAGCAAAAGTAACTAAGGGGAGCGGGATTCAGTGTCAGTTAGGAATTCAAAATGAAATCACACTAGACGTAACACAAATGAACCATTAAACAATCACAACATGTTTGCCAGACTGTTTTTCTGTAGCTATTGTCTGCTGTCTTGTGGCAGTTCTCCATCTCACTCTGATTTAAACAGCGCTGGAGTCAGACAGATCACACTGAGCCTAAAGAAAGAACCACTGAGGCCGCAGTCTTAACTCGACTCTGCACAGGGTCGAGCCTCTGAGCTGTTGTAAGTGCGGTTGACATGTCATGTACGCTGGTGTGATAGTTTAACATTCCAGCTGTCTGCTCTCGTTGCAGCCGGCCACCTCACACTTCCTGCCTGCGGCCTTTCTGTGATCTGCTCGGCTGCATGCTTGCCAGCCTGACTGGCTTTTCCTCTGCTGCTCTGCCCATCATCGTCACAGTTTTCCTGGCTCTGCCTCCTTAATGTTCGGTTGTCATACTTTTTTGCACTTCACAACATAAACACGTGTTGAATTGTTGATTTGGAAGAGCCTGAGGTGCAGTGTGTCAAACACCTTTAGCTGGTGCCAGTTTTATAGTAGTATTTTTGGGAAGTTGGTACAGCCTAAAAAGTGAGTCGAGCAAGCATAAATTAATAAATATCCTACTGTATCTACACTGCAGCAGTAGCTTGTCTTACTGCAGAAAATTTGCAGAAAATATGTAATTATTGTAATAATTTGTAAATTAAAATGTTTTTGTTAGATTAAATTTAACAGGACAGAAACACATTTACTGCAATCCTGTTTAAATTACTGCCAACCTGAAGACTGCCTGAGATAGATAATTTATTATCAGTCTGTTGAACTTAAAGTCTAAACTGATTGGAAAAGTCTGCAGGTCTGGTGCATTCACATGCTGTCAGGAAGCGCTGACCTTTGAGACTTAAAGGTGCCCCATTGAGTTTTGTTGTAAACAAACAAAAGTTATGTTTACATTCAGTGTTTCTCACCAACACTCGTGTGTCTCCATGAGGTCAAACAAATGTTTTCCCTTGCTTGTAAAAAATATTTAAAGAGCCAATTTTTTTCTAGCTAGAAGTCTTCTTCTTTGCCTTTGTCTCTTTGTGTGTTTACCAGCTGTTGATTACTGGAATAGTGTGAAATGAATGGCAGGAATATAAATTACATCGCCAGATAACAAACAAAACAATAATTTGTAAAAGTTTGTAAAAACATTGCTCCATAGTGCAGCTAGTGGTCATAAACTCCAAGGGGCACCTTTAAAAAGAGTCTACTACCAAAAGTTTTATTCTTGCACTCAAAAGACAGGTTTGCCTGAAGTAATTTTCTTATCACATGATGGCACATGAACGCTTAAAATCTTCAATCAAATCTGTAAATTAATAGTTGAACGTGAGATGTGGTTGAAAGATAAGAAGAAAGCTAATAAGTGGACTTTAAGTTAAGATTACAAACTAATACTAATACTGATAATACTTTTGCTGCATTATGAAACACCAATACTGTACTGAAATGATGCAAATTAAATATTTAAAGGACCAGTGTGTAGGACTTGCGAAAGGCCCTATCTAGAGCCAATGTTTGGTTTGTCCATTCTGGGCAACTGTAGAAACATAACGGTTAAACATGGTGGTCATGGACGATCCGCTCCCTCTGTAGATAAAAACGTCTCACTCTAAGGTAACGAAAACACAACAATTCCTATAATACACTAATGAAATATTATATTCCATTTCTGCCAATAAATCCTACATGTTACACACTGGACCTTTAAATAACAAAATACATTTCTGGTTAATGGTCCTAAACATGCAAAAAATACTTTAATGTGTGGCCCTTTAATGTGTAATTCTTTTAGTCTTAGGTAATGCTTCCATGACCATTTCAAAATTAAGACTATTATTGCCAAAAATATACTGAATGTAACAGGAGAGCGTGATATGTTTGCCCTTTTTCTGCATTTATAAAAATTTAATTTAGGCTTATTTATTTGTCTGGCTCGACGTCCTACCTATTAGTTTCTCAAAATATATTTTTTGGTCATCTCCAGCCAAACAAATACTTGATGATGTGAGTTGTTTTTGTATTTTCCTAATGGCAGAGGAAATATGACAAATGTGTCAGAAGAAGAGAGAAAAGGGCCGGAAGGAAAAAAACACATAATTCATAGAGCCAACTCTCATCGTAAAGGGGGGTTTGCTTTTCCAAGAGATAACTGGAGCGCGACTGATAGTTCGGGTATTAGTTTTACAGGAAAAACGCCCATTAACCCCCCAGTAAACCCAGTGCCTGTCTGTCTGCCAGTTTTGTGTCCAGGAGGTCGAACAAGCTCATTATGGTCACTTCTGCTAATCCTGAGCCGTGCTTCTCGCCCATACAGGGCGTTTCTTCAATTTACTGTACAAAGAAGGAAGAAAAATTGTAGCTCGGGAACCGCGGCCCCCGAGCCCTCTTTGAAGTACGATTTCTAGTTTTTCAAATCGCCCATCACTCATACACTATACAACTGTAGGAAACACTCTTTCTCTTTGCCCTTGTGTTTGTTCTCCTTCCCTGCTCTGTACTGAGGGGCTGAATTGTTCAAAAGACGTTAATTTACAGTTGTTGGAATTGGCACTTGACAAATAACTAAATAAATATATAGAACAACATCAGTAGCTCTTAGGATGCCCTTCCGTATGAGGAAACGTCCTTCTCGTCTCTGGCTGCTTTGCATCAGCTCATTTTGACTTCTTTGAGTTCAAGAGAAACAAGAATCCAACAGCAGCAGTGGCAGCAGTAGCGTTTTCTGGAGGAAGGTGTTTTCAGGGCGCGTGTGTCGCTTACAGCAGGTGCACAGGTAAGTCAGTGTGTTTGTGTGTGTAAATATTGATTTGGGTATGCTTTTGAGCTGTTGTTGAACGTGGGGGTTTAGTCCAGCGAGAGCAGTGGCTGCATGTTGTCTTCTTCACTCTTCACTTTGTCCGGTCGTTTCAGGACGCCGGGTTCCACCACCGACTGAGACCTGCAGGGAAACAGAACACAAGATGATGAGCGATAGTGAGTAAGTGAGACCAGACCCGGCTCTAATTTAATTAATAAATAATTTGCTATGTGAAGCACTTTGGGTTTGTTTAAAACATGCTATGTAAATAAAGTTGAGTTTAGTTAATTTACACCTGAATGGATCTGAGGTGACAGCTCCTGTTCATAAGCATACAATAGAGGAAAACGTGTTTTTTTGAGGTCTCACCGAGTCAGTGACTTCTTTCAAATCTAAGATGAAAACATTCATTTATCGCACCACCTTCCCTGATATTATCTGGCTCCAGCTATTAATCTGTTAAAGGGGTTTTTCAGTTTTAATTCAATATTTTATATGGTTTGTTTTAGTACTTTGATTCTTTTATTGCTTCATTTTATGTGTTCTTTGCTTTTTATGTGAAGCACTTTGTAACTTTGCTTTGATAAGTGCTATATAAAGATATTATTATTATAAGAGTGTGAACTGTGAAGTGCAGAGACAAATTACCTGTATTATTTGACACTCTTTCCCTATTTAAATGTGTTCAAGATGACCATTTCAGATTAAGTTTTATCTCCCGATACTGATTGGAATACCTCAACTCAGAGTGATCAGCCGATGCTGAGTACAGATTCAGTATTAAAACCTGTAGGCTGAATAATCTGCTTTTTAAAGCCATTTTGGAGCCAATTTTTTTCCACCTGTCTATTTTGATAAAAAAAGTAAAAAAAAAGTGGTTGTAATTTATTACTGACTTTACTGACTATTTATTGATAATTGTCAGGGCTCTGTTGACAGTTTCTGTCTGAGCTCATATTGTTGTTTGTCTTCCACAGTCTAAGTGTTTTTGAGAATGAATGAGTCAGTTGGTGTAACATAGTGGTCAGATGATTTACAGTCACTGTGAATCACACTGCATGGTGGCCTATAGGTGGGAATGATACCCCATGAAATGTCAAACATACTCACAGCAGCACAGTGCCAACGATACATTTATAGTAAGATATTCTCTCTGTCATGACTGGGAGCTATGTTTATGTTTTAGTCTTGGTCCAGTAACTTTGTGTCCAAAAAGGCTATAATTTAACCGGTATGGTTTTTAAGTCCAGCTGATTTGCTCATTTAGTGTGTAATGTTAGCTTTCTGTATTGTGTTTATTCAATATTTCATTCTGAATGTTTACTTATATTTAGTTATATTTATTTACCTGAGTCAGACTCACAGTAGCTTATAGTATTATTTTCCTATCATATAAAAGATAAATGTATGAATATATAGTCAGATGGGATCAATTAGACCATTTCATCCTCTTCAGTAAAGCCAAAGATGGCAGGTAGTGGGAGGTGGGAAGAGAAGACAAGAATACCACAGTGAGATAAAATCTGCACATTAGCTCCATCATTATCTCATTTGTTTACACTAATTATGCAAAGACAATATAATTAGTTTGACAGTATACTGATACGCTGATACTACTGTAGACAATTACTTATCTTAAAACATCATTCTCATTATTATAAAACTAGCTCCATATTAGTTTCGTTTATCAACTGTTTTCATGCACCACTCTGTTTTATGAACCTGTCTGCTTCCTTTAGATTGTGTAGAGTTTAGAAAGACATGTTACCAGAAGGTTGCTGGTTCAAGTTCCTGCAGCAGATGGGAATATTTTGGGAAAGATGAACACATTTCCCTCCGTAAACATCTGCTGTGGATTGCTAAAATGTTTTCTTAAAAACATGAAGTAAAGATAAAATAATTAAAAACAGTATGGAGTGTGGAGATGTGATGAGCTCACCTCTTCATGGTTTTCGGGGACAGGTTTTTCTCCAGGTCTCTCTCCAGGTCTTGTACCGACAGGGTGTAGGACTCGGGACAGTAGTCGGTCTCCTCGTCGTAGGCGTGGTCCAGCAGCGTTCGCGCCCACGTGCCCATATCGTACGGCGGCATCATCCCACCGAGCTCCGACGGCAAGATCTCAGGATGGATCAGCTGGTGGAGGCTGTTCAGGTTGTTGCCGTGCATGAAGATCTGCAACAAGAAAGGAAACCAACAGTGAGACGGTTTGGGTTGGCCACAATAATAAAGAACACAACTTATATTTTAAAAGCTTTTGTGCAGACAAGACAAAAATGATATCCTCAGTGAGCTCTTACTTTGTTAATTGTTCCCTCTTGTTCCCTAATAAATCTTTACAGCAAAACTTGGTATAATACCAATTTAAAGCTAATATACTAGCCAAAGTAATTTCCCCCTGGGATTATTAAAAGTATTTCAGATTTTTCTGATTCTCAATCATTTGAAAGCCTTAAACCTGCATTAAATGATTTTTTGCCCACTTTTTGTTGGGCCATTTAGGGGAATCATGTGTTTCTGGCCACCTGATGAATGTAAATCCAATATTCACTTTCCTTTTCTACTTTTAGCTCTGTTGTGATCTCCACCAGTTCCTGAGGGAAATATCGGTTAAGTTTTGGGCTGCTATGTGCTATAAATACCACATAGCTGAGAGGAATTGCTCATTACTATGCTCATTACTATGAGCAACTCCTCTCACATTAAACATAGTAGTGTAATCCATTATTAATTTAGAAATATAGGTTATAGCTGCTTTAATGTAATATCTTCTGGCCCTTACCCTCTTCCTGGTCTTGTCTTTGAGGAAGGGTCGTATCACGGTGTACAGAGCGTGGATGTACCAGGGCTGGTTCACAAAGTGGATTCCTCCAAATCTGGCAGGAAAACTGTCCTGTTGGATAAAGAAACACAGCAAAACAGGTAAATACAGGCAAATGAGGATAATCCCATCCTGCTGATCCATGTTTTGTGTCTTTTATTGTCTCGTAAAGCCTCCATAAAACTTTCCTAATGTCATGTACACTATTTCCTTTTGAGTTTCAGGAGCAATTTTCTTACTTACCTGTCACCCATCTATCGTTCATCCCTACTATTTAACAGCCAACATGGGAAGATACTGTCATTGGAAGCTCAACGTCTTTAAAAACTTCTATTAATTCACACATGTAAATAATGCATTTTTCTAACCAGTGGATAGAGAGACTTAATGACAGGTAAGATTCAATACACTCATGAAAACTAAGATTCATTATCTCTCTGTGTTTTATAACAAATAACAAAGAGCGCGTCTTCTTTGAGTTCCAGCAAAGGAAAAATTACCTCTGTGAGTTTCCTGTCCCTTTTCATTAGATTAGTTTTGTAAATGGGCTCTAATCTCATCGTCAGTAGGAAATGGTCCAGTCTATTTTGGAGTGCAGCCCAATGCCTGAGGAAAATGAATCCTTGTTCATACAGGTTAGTGTGTGGAGTCTGGGGCTGACACGGTATTTCCTAGAATGCTGGACAGAATTAGGATAATTACACTCAACTGTGTGTATGTGTGTGTGTGTGAGTCATAATTTGGCTGTGGTCCAGCAGTATGGTGAAATTATATTCTGACATAACAGAGCTGGCTGCTGAGAACGGCTCGGGGCATACATTTATATAAAAACTGTTAGCAGTGTGGGAGAGACCGAGACAGTGAGAGTCTCTGAGGTCAGGCCAGGTTTGTAAATTAGGGTTTGACCGATATGAATCACAAAGGTGAAAGTCGCCGCCAGTTGTTTTGTTCCTCTAGCAGGGATGTTGGCGACCACACTGTCGCTTGGTCAAGACAACGCTTTGGTCCAGAGACAGATACTATATCTGGACATCTATGGCCATATTTATAAGATATCTTACTGTGAATATTTACAATCCCCAAAGGATTTTATTGAACCTAAACTTGCATCTAGGGCCTCTAGGACCATCAGGCCACAATTTCCACATGTTAAAGCAATGTTTTTTTTTGTCTCTGCACATCTGACAAAACAGACACAACACAACTGTTCACACATGTAGGCTGAATAGTGGCCCATATATATGTGTAACTAAGAGCCAAAGTATACTTCAAGTCTAGGTTCTTTCAAGTTATGCATGTAACTACAGTACGTGATTGTTTATTGTGCTGAGTGCACAGCTGCACTATGCCGAACACATCAGGTGCACCATTTCTATTTTGGAGACACAGTCAGTTGTAATTTTAGTGACCACTCTCAGGTCAAAAGGTCAACTTAGTGCAGTTAGCTGGTTAGTCATGAAATTTATAGATAATTCCTTATGGCCTGGAACCTGACCCCTGACCTTTCCTTCATTACCAGGATTTAGTCCATGAGTTGTACAACGTATTAAAGATCTGTATTAAATTTTAATGTAAAAGCAACATTTCTACCAGTTTGAACAGAAAATAAAGTATAATAAGATAATTTCACATATCAATTTTTACATATTGATGCCCCCCTGCATCTTTCCTGAAGGAAGAACACTGTGTGTATATTTTATTTATATTTTATATTAAACAAGTTTATTAGGTAGAATATATATATACTGATATATATACATTTCAAAACAAAGTAAACAACAAACAAAATAAATAAATAAAAAAACTTAGTTATACAAAACAAAGAGAAAAACACACCTCCCTTGAGTAAGTAAAAAACAAGAAATGGTTTGTCCCCAGATTTTATTTTTGAAATCAAATTTTCACTCAGACTTTTGTAATATTGATTTTTTTCTTTATTGAATTTAAACCCTACTGATGGTGACGACATCTTGACCTTATGTGTTGCTCCAATTAGTCAAAATTTTCCACAGATGAGGTTATTTGTTTTTTTAATGATTTCTCCTGAAAAATATTGATTTGTACATGAAAGCCAAGAAAGAATCCAGTTAAAGATGCACATTAGTGCACAATACTACTATTAGCAGGTTTCCAAATGATCAGTAATAAAGAAACTTATTTCTGTTAAACTGCGGTCAGGCAGCCTCTACCCCCTCAGCTGTCAGATCCCTCTGACTCAGAACCTCTGGCCTGCCCTCTGCTCTGACAGACATTCTCACTTTGATGAAGGGACCTGCTGCATTATACATGACACACTGGAAATGGAATATGAGCTGCAGGGCCTCCGCTACACTGAAAGGACTAAAGGAAGAGAAGGAAGAGGAGCTAAAGGTTTGATCTTGTCTCACCCGAGTGATGTCTGAGGGAAAATAATACAAGGTAAGAACATCCAAAGATGTGCAGGAGCAGGAAGGTTGGAGGGGAGAGGAAGCACTTAAATTAACTTTCCACAACATTGTTTTCTTGTCTTATTACAGCACAGATGAAAAAGGCCAGGTTTCCCTGAGGGACACCAGTGATAAGAGGACTGAAGAATGATTTAGATGACCATTAATACTTTTTAGATTCACCAGTGTTTTCCTCCAACAAAAATCTACTCACAAGGCTTGGAGCGTGTGCATTGAGCGAGGGCATCAATAAGCCTCACTCAGTTTCAGTATCGGAGTCTACTGCAGATATTGAAGTCAATATGTATTCTCCTGCACTGTGAGGAGCAGATAAATCCTCCTGAAGGACTAATCAATCCATGGTTTTTAGTATGACTCATCTTTCCTAAAACACCACAAAACCTACAGTTAGTCTAATAACCCTGTCTTTAAGTGATACAAAACAAAACCAAAAACATGAAATAGGATATTGATTGGTCAACTAAACATGAAAGAAATGAATTAACCTCTTGAATAATTAATTGATTTTACATTTACTGGTGTATCCAGCTTTCATTCAGCTTCCAACGAACCTTTTAAAGCTGCAACTACTAACAATTATTTTCATGAATAATTAATCTTCTGGTTATTTCATTAAGTGTCTAATGAGTAAAATGTTAATAAACAGTGAAAACTCTCTGAACCAGTTTTCTAAATGCCAACGCAATGTCTTAAACAAAATCAGACAATTAACAGAGCAAACATGCCTGTGACTTTTAGCAATTTATTGCTACATTTGGTCTATTTTTGTGAATTCAAACAGTCTTGATGTGTTAGTCTCATTAAATTATTGTTTTAGATTAATTTTCATAGTTTTAGACACCCCCTTGGTTTTTTTAAGGTGCCATTTGGGCTATTTCTTGGATGAAATATTTAATCTTTTGAAAATGTGCATACACGATTTTATGATCGTATGAGCATTTCTATTTAATTCTGATTTGTAGCAGATTTTATGTTATTTGTCACTTTCGTGAACAAAAAGAGCTCTAAAATCATTAAAACACAGAAAACTGCAACAGCAAAAAATAAATAGAGAGATATAATTTGGCAAGAAAGCTAATAAGGGAATCATGTTGAGTTTTAATACCTGCAGTTCTGATGGTGTTCAAAATAACTTCTAGGGGGGCTAGTTGGTAAGTAAACAGCTCAAATATTCAGTAAATAAAACCAGATCCAGAAACCATTACTCAAAACCACTTCAGCATTTTTTTTTGATGTTCGCCAACCAGAGGCAAATGTCGACTCTAAACAAATGAGCGACTGTGGGGATTTATTTTTGGACTCTTGCTGCAGGTCACAGCTGAGCGTGTTCAGTTACAGCGAAAGGTTGAAGAGAATTAAAGGTGACAGAAGATGGAGAAAAGTCCGTCAAACACCAACGGGACAACATGTGGAACCGAGGAGGCATTTTTAAAAACACGATCACGTCACTTACAGATATATTTAGTATTTTGTGCCTCTCAAAATCTCTCTCTAAAACCAGCCTGCATCTCTCACCTCCCCCCTCCCGGGAGCCTCTGGCTTCACTGAAAAGGATAAACACATTAGGAATGATTTTACTTCGTAGATTGGTTTGCTGTAAAAAAAAAAAAAAAACTGCGCCCACCTCCTATTTTGTAAAACGAAGCAATCCAGCAGATTTTCCTCTAAATCTGACCTGGAGCCACAACGTGTAAAATGCAGCGAAGAAGCTGCCAATCTCGTTGGTAATGGTCTTTTTTTCTTTTAGAGTAATAGCACTAATGACTCAAAATTGATCTTTTCAGTCTCTTAAAGGGATGTCAAAGGGAAAAGGGAAACTGCTTATCTTTTGACTTTAAAATCTTTAAAATTAGAACAGCTTTTACTCTGAGTGTGGGAACCGATAGTTTCACTTCTAATGTCTTGTA